CACTGATTCCTTATAATAAATCAGTATATATGTATGAAGAAGGAATATACATAAACACACACACACACAATACAATACACACTAAAAGATGCAGAGAGGTCTTAACTGTTTATTACCCTAAGAAGAAAACTCACGCCACAATTCCCCAAAGTTGCTTTTACAACTACACACAAAAGGGAAAACATTATAAAAGAAAAGAATGAATGTCCTGAAGAAAATAAAGTATTTCATATTCTAAAACAAAAACCTTTGCCCTTTCTCTTTAAAATATACACTTTTCTCTCGTTAGAACAACTAATCTCCCTAATATATATATATATATATATTATATATATATATATATATATATATATATATTACAATAAACGTGCAATCAAGAAATACATGAATTAAACTCACGCAAATAGTACCCCAAAAGTTTCATATAAATTTCTGCCGTATTAAATTTTGCTTTTACAACTACACAGACAAAAAGACTATAATTTCTCTTAGTAAACATTTAAAAACATAAAGAAAATTAATTTGCTTGGATGTCTTGCCATTTAAATCATTAACCTTTTGCATTAGTTTTGCAAATAAAAATATCTTTGCCTGATGAATGTCCAGAGACTGTAAAAAATTTACCAGTAAAACATTTGTTCAAATATGGAAAATAAAAAATATAATATATGTTTTAAAAAAACCAATAACTCATTTTCATTTCGGAAAATAAAAAATTTTCGATGTCCTTTTACTAAGAGAAAAAACCAAACAACTCTTCTATACTTTTGTAAGAACAAATATACACTTTTTATCTCGTTAGAACAACTATAAAGGTTTTGTCCCGTTTATATATATATATATATATATATATATATATATATATATATATATATATATATATATATATATATATATTTTTTAGAATATTAAAACAAAAACATGCTAAAAATCGCTACACAATTGTTATCGTCTGTCAACGCATAACAATGCGTCTCCATGGGATTTTAAATTACTGAGCAATATATATATATATATATATATATATATGTGTGTGTGTGTGTGTGTGTGTGTGTGTGTGTGTGTGTGTGTGTGTGTGTTTAATAAATTCATATATCCAATTTCAATTGTCGCAGATACACCTGTTGTCACTGTCAGGTTAGTATATTTTATATATAGATTCCTAGATTTATCTGAAGAGAAGTTATCCATGAAGATTTTAATTGGAAAGATAGGGCTTTGAGCCATTATTTTTCTGTAAACTACTGTTATTCTATTTCGTTCATAATGCAGACTGTTTAAAAGCCTAGGACTGTTTAAAAGTATTCTCGCATTTAACAGCGTTAAAAGCCAGTATTTCTAGTGGTCTACGTGTTTTGTCAGGCGTTAACGATCAGTGATGTTATTATTATTATTATTATTATTATTATTATTATTATTATTATTATTAGTAGTAGTAGTACTAGTATTGTGTGTATTGATCGGTGACTGTTGATTATTGAAAGACTTAGATCCACACGAAGCAGCTAATATATTTTTCCTTGTTCCAGACTTTGCAAGTACCCTTCTTTTGAAATCCCTCATGTGGACACTTAATGTAGCCCGATTCTTAGTAAACTCGTATCGCTAATTTGCAACTATATTAAATTTGGTCCGAACTGCCGTTACCACTGCTTCATTATCAGGCCTTATGAAGCTTGGATTCTTAAATCATTAAGAACTATTGCTATGAAATTAAGGTTAACGAGCCGGTTTCGTAGACGTTTATTACGACAGAGAGTTAGCGGTACAATGATTGCTTCTCTAATTTTGAAGCTAGATTTAAATAATCAACCATCTGTAGCAAGAGGCGCAATCTTCATAATCAGAAATCTGTGAGTACCAGCAATGCCAGCACAGAAAGATCTTGGCTTGTTTCATAGATTACAGAAAAATATAAAGCCAAACACAGTCATTCTTTGTATTTTAGACAAGCTTAATATACATAGGAATGGTACTCCACTTATCTATATATTATGATAGGAACAAAATTCTTGACTAGTATATATTTACCTCGTTTCCCTAGTAAGGCGTGATGTGGCACGAGGTCGATTTTATTTTGGGGAATCTTAGCGCGTACACACGGGCCAAAAACAAAAATTCCGGATTCCCTGTAACCATCACAAGCACCGATCCCTTTCTCTAGTGCCATTAATGTGTGTAACCTCGGGCAGTTGTTCCCTAGGGCTGGGCATGTCACAGTATTATTGTCTTCAGTTGCGCACCTGTCCCCCGACTGAACCGCAATTGACTCGCTCTTTGCCCGAAGACAGAGCCACAACTGAGAGATTATAAAATCTACCTGAACGGTAAGTGTAATTACCCTGTCTCTCCACTGCAGACAAAAGGTTGAGTTTAATGTGGGGAACACAAGCGCGTACACTCGATCCAAGGACAAAAATTTCCCGAGACCACGCAACCGTCGGTTGCAATAAGAGGGTGTAGCCTCGAACAGTTTCTTCCCAGGGATAGGAACCTCACAATTTTATATTCCCCAGTTGTGCATTTGTTTTCTGACGGAACCGCAACTGTGTTGCACTCGGCCAGAAGACAAAGTCGTAAAAACCTATCCGAACACCAGCAAAAGCTCCTATGCCAGATAAGTATTGGCACTTTGACTGGTAATTGTAATGACTATATTAATCGTTTCTTTATAGGGGGAATTTGGATTTCATTGACCAAGCAACCAGTGTCACTTTTCGTTGAAACTAATAAAATTGTTCTTTTAATTTTTCAGTTTTTATCAAGTCTTATAATATTTGCTCCTAAATATTGTTTAGGTATAATTTACCCATCCACAAAAATTACATTGAAATCCAAAATATCTTCAGGCTGTAAATAACTCACAAAATATTGATGAGACGTAAAAAATAAAAATTAATCATTACTGTCGATAAAAATTTGTAAAAATGTTCTATTAAAGCAGTTTGACAGAGAAATTATCTCAATTCCAGTAACACTTATCTCTCTCCCGACTAGTGATGGAAGTTTCCTTCCTAGCTTTTTGTTCGTAGTCGTGTGGAATATCAACATATTCATTATACAATTATTTATTTTTCTTCAAGTTATATATGCTATCCATTTTAGTTGTTGCCGTTGTTGAAAGTCCAAAAGTGATAGGGTTTCTGCTATTTGGTAAAAATTCAGTCTCTATAGCTCTGTGGCACCAGTGCTCATGGTTAGAAGAATTATGGTCCTCACAATCTAATTTGCTCAAATCCATTTTTAACTATTGATCTCCAAGACCGATTCTATACAGCTGAGAGTTTAGATATTCCTCAACAAGTTTGTTGCCGTGAATGACATCCATATCAAAGTCTCAATCTGACGAAGTTCTTTAAGAACTTGACACGAATTTTTAGATTAGTGTTTTTGTTACATATGAATAAAGTGTCACTACCGACACTTGTGTTTGAACAGAGATCGCCAATAAGCAAAAAGAGGCGATCCCATTATTGAATTAAGTAGATCGCATGACAATAGAGGACACGCATAAATAGAAAGTGGAATGAAGTCTAACTGACCACTCATTTCTAGTCTATCCCCTATTACTATACGCATCGCTATTTCTAGTATATCTTCTATTATTATACGGATCTCTATTTCTAGTCTATCCTCTATTACTATACGGATCTCTATTTCTAGTCTATCCTCTATTACTATACGGATCTCTATTTCTAGTCTATCCTCTATTACTATACGGACCGCTATTTGTAGTCTATCCTCTATTACTATACGGACCGCTATTTCTAGTTTATCCTCTATTATTCTACGGATCGCTATTTTTAGTATATCTTCTATCACTATACTGTTAGCTATTCTCCATGCTATTCCCTATTTCTATACTATTCTGTATATTGATCAGTAAACGAATCACTATACGGATTACTATTCGAGCGAGTATTATAGTGCAAGTGCGAGTGTTATTCGACGGCGTCTGACACCAGTATTTTTCAACGGCGTTACTATAATTGGATCTGCGATTACAAAGTCTCTACTACAATGATCATTACGAAAGTGACATCGAGTATTCGTTGACATTACAAAAGTTGCTACGAGTATTCGTTGATATCAGAAAAAATATATTCCTTTTAGCAACTAATCAACTAAGATGAGAACGATCTCCAACATATTACGATACGAACTTTATTCTAATTCGAGCGAGTATTATCGAGCAAGTACTATTAGTGCGAGTGATATTCGAAGGCGTCTGATACAAGTATTGTTCAACGGCGTCACTATATATGCATCTGCGATTACAAAGTATCTACTACAACGGGCATTACGAAAGTGATAACGTGTATTCGTCGATCTCACAAAACTGGCAACGAGTGTTCGTTGAGTCATAAAAGGTTTGTTTTTGTAGTAAGCTGCGTCGTTCGGCAAAACTAACCTTAGCACCGCCTATTCTATGTTCAGTTTTTTTTTTCATCCCCTTATTTATTCCTTTGTCTCCTTATTTGTGCTACATTTATTATGAAAATAATGAGGTTATTGAATTTGATAAAGATACAAAAATAAAAAGAATACCACAGATATGTCTTTTCCCAGCAGATCTATATAACCAGCAAATTAAAATTATTCTAGAAAACCAAGAGGGTTATTATTTGTTGATAGATCGTTAATAGCATACGCAATACAGATAGAACTGATTTGATGGCAGGCATTGAAAGAAAACTGAAAAGATCTATCTCGCTTGAAAAAACCTTGGGTATTTCGGCTTGTAGTAGAAGAAACCGATACCCAAGGAAAAATGAGGAATAAAAAAAGAAAAAACCAAGAACATGAAACTGAGGCGAAAACATATGGCAGAAATAAACAAGGATTAAGTTTTGACTTTTAGTAAAACAGGCTGGCTCATTGTCAGCAAAATGGACCGAATACAGAGTAAATTACATATGGGAGGCGTAAATAAAATATATAAAATAAATAATATATTTAATGCGAAAGTTAGACATTGAGATGCATAGAGAAAAAAAAACAAAAACGCAGTGAGGTAGATAAATACAGAGAGATAGAGATAAAAAATAGAGAGAGGGAGAAATGAAACGAGTAAGGAAGACAGACAGAGCAATAGATGGAGAGAAAATAAGCCAAATGAGCGAGACATAGAAAGAGATAAGGTGAGAAACAAAGCGAATGAGATGGAGAGATGTCGATAAAGAAAGGGATAAAGTGAAAACAGAATGCATCAGGCAGAAAGATAGATTAAAAGGAAAATAAACCGAATGAAATAGACACAGAGACATAAAGCGCGCGTTAAACTGTTATATCCTTAAAAAGGTTACAGACAGACAAAAGTGGTACTCGAGTGGAAAAAACAGCAACACAGGCGTAGCAAAGAGGTTTATTGTAAAAGAGAATACACTACTGAAAGACAGGGAGTCGACTAACACTTTCAGAAGCCAGTCAGACTGATAGACAGACAGGTAGACGGGCAGACTCTGGTATGTCCTGTGCACAGTAAATATATTACTGATATATTAGTCCACAATAGGTAATAGGGAGAGTGGAACATTCCATTACAACATAAATGTAGGATAACAATAATAAACAGCACTTACCGGCGTAAGAGTCCCAGCTAGCGTCCAGCTGGCAGACAAAAATAAAGCAGGTTGTAACTTAATACAAACCCTGCAAACTAACCGAGAAATCATGCTAGTATTTATATAGAAATACTTCCACTCAGGTACCAGCAGCCAATCACAGCCCAAGCAATGGACTATCCCACTTTAGCATAATGAGATGCTCCATTGCACCATAAATAGCTATCTTTCTCAATGTTGAATGAGTATTCACTCAGCTTGCTCCACAACTGAGTGTTTATCTTGACCACGTGATTGTTCGACAATAAAGAGGAGAGAGATGAAGAGAGAAATAAAACGATCAATAGACAGAGGGATAGACAAAGAGAGACATAAACAGAATGATATTGGTAGACAGAGAGATGGAGAGAGAAAGAAATAGGATGAGACAGAGATAGATAGATAGATAGATAGATAGATAGATAGATAGATAGATAGATAGATAGTGCTGTAATTGAGATATCACAAACAACAGTAGAAAAAACGGAATTGGTTTAAGAAGTTTATTACCTTTCAGGACAGGGAAACATAATGCAGAATAGAAACTAGCGAAGAGAATTGTTAGACGTAAACGACTGTTTTCAGCGAAAGCTACTGCTGCTACTGCTCCTTCTCATACTCCTCTTGATGTCGGAGCATTTTTATGTCTTTCGTCCGACGGTCGAGCCCAAACTTGAAGAGAAATATTTTCCCTCACAATTCATAGATAGATAGATAGATAGATAGATAGATAGATAGATAGATAAAACGAGGACTAAATTGAGTGAGACAGATAGGCAGGGAGATGGATAGAGATAAATACGCCGAGTAAGGTGGACATAGATATAGATCAAGAGAGAAATAAACTGAATGATAGCGATACACAGATAGATAAGTAGAAAAAGAAAACTGATATGATATATATATATATATATATATATATATATATATATATATATAGAGAGAGAGAGAGAGAGAGAGAGAGAGAAATATAACATAGAGAAATCGATAAAGCGAGTAGTAACGAGAATGAAACAGGCAGACACGAGGAATTAAAGACATAGAAAGAGATTTACCCAGTCAGATAGAAAGAAATATATAATGCGAGAAAGAGAGACAGATGTAAAGGAAATGAGAGAAAAAATCGATAAAGAGAGAAATCTATACAGAGATAGATAGACAGATAGACAAAGGGAGAATTTGGACCAATAAAATACATATAAATGGTACTAACAAAAATTAGTTCGAGTGTATGATTTAGGAAGACTGTGTTGCGCCTATATAGTAAATGAGAATTGTTTAATTTGCTCGAATATCTCTATTTGAAGAAGAGAAAAACCCAAATGAAGTAATACAAAAAATACTAATAGTCGACAATGTCTCCTCAAATAATTCTAATAAAATCCAAAATCATTTTAATCCTTTCCTTATTATTAACACTTTGACGCCTGTTACTTTTGCTTTCTCTCTATTTGTTATTCGTCGAAACTAATCCAGACCGTCAATCTATGGTCATTATAAAGAGAGTGGATGATAAAGAAGTATTCTCCTGCATCTGCTTTAAAAAAAAAAAAAAGAAGACAAATATGGCTGTGGAGATTGCCCAAGAAAAATTTATAAAAGTTAAGCGCAGTGTACGTGTGTCCGTCGGTCTGTCTGCTTTACGATCTCGGGAAATTGTAACTACTTAAAAATTAAATAAATAACTCATTTAAAGTTAAATGTAAATATCGAATAGAGTGAAAGGTTTTAAAAAACAATTCTTCATCAAACGTTGAACTTTAATTTCCCTTTTCGCCACAATTGCAATTTATATCGTTTAATTAAATCGTATTAAAACTTAAGCGAGGACGGAACGTTGGTCATGTTTTTCGTTTCTTTTTCTAGCACACGTAATGTGATGTATTCGAAAGAGTTCTGATTCGCTAATGTCTTTTAAGAATGACCTTATATGTTGGGATCATAAATAATGGTGATTTTAAAAGAAAAACAAAGAATGGTGCGTATAATAAATGTAAACAAACTTCAGAGATTGATTGCGTATACAAAGAATGATTGTGCTGAATTAATGTGTCGAATAAAAATAAAATAATGTTATTATTTCTAAATTCTTATAACGTTTACGTACGTAGGACGCTGAATGTAAAATGGCGATGGACCAAAAACCCTCCGCCGGACGTCGCCTAAAATCCGCGCAAAGGCTGTCTTCTAGGCTAGTAAACAATGTCTTTACTGTTAAATTGATTTTCTGCGACTATTGGCTCTAGTAACTAAAATGATAGATCAGCTGTCACGCAATGCGTAGGTACCTGAGCTTAAAGCGAATCACACTTATAATTTACCTTATAATATATGGCATGAAGCGGCTCAGATACTGCTCTCCGGATTTAACAGAGCAAGCGCATCTACCTGGATGTATGTTTGATAAACTATTTTCCAGCTGCAACCCTTTTACCCCAGATGAAACGTCGCAAGTGTCTTGCTAACCTACCGCCATTTCCCTGGCATATATTTTGACGAGCTACATTCCTTATTCTACACTTTCTAGCATTCACAGCTAAAACCCACCGTTCAGTGTACGCAGGCTCGAATTATCCTTGTTCCCTTCGTAATACATTGGTAAGAAGCAAGTTCGATTCGGTCACCTGCTTCCCAAGTAAAGGTACTTTGCGTAACCGAATACGAGAGGAAAATACCCGAACATGGTACTCTTAATGTCTTCAAGTCTAAGCTGAACCGTTATCTACATACAAAATTCCCATTCAATAACACTCTACCTTGAGTAGCTCTTGGGCCTTGTATTAGATGAATAGCAGTAAAAAAAATGTTACTCTTTAACATCCCCGCTGTTTACTAACAGCCATAGATTGACTTCCCGAATAATGGCATTGTTCGTTTTCCACGGGATATCAACAATTTGCCGGTTATTTAAAGCCAGAAAATATTCTTATAACTAAGAATGTTTAGTAGAGATAATAATGGTTTATTAATACAAGGCTTACGTACTAACTCGTAGCTGCGGGAGAATAGGTGGATCCATAACTTTCCCAGAGTTATTTGCGCGTAAGTAATACGACAAATCCAACGGGAATTGGATTGGAACACGGCCCTCAGATTAACAAATTCTGAGCCATTATATATATATATATATATATATATATATATATATATATATATATATATATATATATATATAAGTGGTGGTACTCGCTTGGAAAAACCTTGAGAATTTCGGCTTGTAGCAAAACAAACGAGGACCCAAGGAAAAATGAGGAATAAAAAATAAAAATAAAACCAAGAACATGAAACAAAGGAGAAACAATCGTCCAGAGTTCAAGCTCAAAGTCCAAAGAAAAAAAACCTCCAACACCAGTAAAAGCAACTACGTAAAGTGTTCAATAAACAAAGTAGAGCAAAACCTAAGATAATCCTAAGGAGCCAGGCAAACTTACCTTAGGTTTAATGTTGGCCAGCATTACCCTGACGATCCGTTTAGGTGAAACTTAGATAGGTTTGCCTGGCTCCTTAGGTTTATTATATATATAATACCAACTGCGTATCCAAGCTGACAAGCCGTCACCCACCTCGGTATTGAATATGCTAAACGCTGCTTAACTTCGGTGATCTTACGGGAACGAGTGTTTTAATCATATGCGGCCGTAAGCCCGAGTAACTCCGATGAAACGTAAATGAAAAATGACAAAGAATAGTCAAAGAAATAACTATTGACAATTATTCATTGGACAGTAGGAAAATACTGATAGTGATTTTAATCATTAAGTTTTTTCTACGACGTTCCTGATCCACAAGATCACCAACTTAAAGCGATATCTTTTTTAGAATGCAAAGTATTATTTTAAACTAGATTCACTTTAAGGGAAGAAAACTGTGGTCTTAAATTTGATGTTTATAACAGAGCAATATTCAATTTCTCATCCTGGTTAGGAAATACGCTAAATTCCACTTCCAGAAGAATATCAAATACATTTTCTGATTTCGTAAACCGAACTGGTCCTATTCTCTGACTTGAGACAATCGAAACTGGTTCTCCTAAGAAACATTGGGCAACACAGTTCAGAGAAAATAATAATCTCCATAAAAACAAATCTTGTAGGAAAGTTATCGAAAAAGCAAAAGTTGTTTCTTTAGTAAATCGAAGACTATTTCCTGATGAAAATGGAAGCCGTTTCCTTATTGATAGGCCAGAACGAATGGAAGGAAATTATTTTCCAGCTTAGCAACGCTTTAATAAAAGACAAAAAAAAAGTCGTTCGGCTTTGTCTTTTGAATCATATATCGTTTGTTCAATTGCCATATGTTCTTCAACGCCTGAAGTCGGTAGATGTATTCACAATAAACAATATTTTACTGAGAATTTATGACGCGTGCTTATTAAAATTTGGTTATTGCAAAAATTATTCACATCTTTGTGAATACTTTTCATATATAATGGTGCTTTTCCAAGGACAGCATAGATCTGGCACAAGGCTGAAAGTATGCGGCACCCAGTGAGGATCGCACTCATTAATCGATTGTAAATTCATCTAGTGAGACTACATTGCTCACCATTACACCACGTCGAGCTGCCCACTTTTCATATATAATGTCGGATTTAACACAAACGATAAAAAACTCACAATTTTTAAACGCAAATGGGTCTAATTAAAAAACAAAAACGATTTCGCCATTTTGCTGATTCCATTGCAAGAGACACCAAGACTATTTTGCCGATTCCGTTAATATAGACACCAAGGCTATTTTGTCGGTAAATATAGTGTTTTAGAACAAAGATTATATTATATTTGAGATCGCCACCGCAATGGTTGTGTGAGCCGTGTAGGCAGAACTTGAACAACATGGATTCTGTAATCTGTGACTCTTGTCTTCACTGGGTACATCTGGAGCGTATTGGCAAAAGAACGATGTCCAGAGGCAAGTTTAGCATTTGGTGATAGTGTTGTCTTAAAATATTCAGAGACTTCTATAGTTCTTTTAATAATTAATGATGAATAAATGATTTTAATAATTTATGCCGGGAAAGTAAATTGTCTTAACAATTAGTGAAAACAAATAGATTTCTATGTTAAATCTGTGTATTATTTTTAACATTTCCTGGCTTCATAATAATATTTACCGGCAAAATAACCCGGGGGTAAAATAAGATTAAAAGAGTGTTTGTCTATTTGACTCTTCCTCCCTCACCCCAAAAAACAAAGAACAATAATTAACGTTCACGTTGTTCTACTTATAAAGCATCAGATGGTGTTAATTAGCGCTCCCCTTCATGAAATTCGTTCTTTGTCGTCATTTTATCCTCCTTTCGCTGTTACTTTATACGGATATAATTTTGACTTTGGGCCCAAGTATTTCAACCGTCGATTTCGGATTTTAAGTATAAGTATCAGGTTTTAAGTCCTCTTTGCTCAATTATTTAATACACAGTGTTAACTGAATCCGTCTGCAGACCCACATATATGTCGATTCGAGACTCCGATTTCGGCATAAGGAAATTGTCCAGCATCACTCATAGACAATAGATATGGCAGCACTTCAGTACTTCTTGCTTCTAACGAGGTTTTCTTATCACTTTATACTTTATTTTTTTTTTTTTTTGTTGCAGTAACCTTCACCCTGTACAAGGTCCAGTAGACACTCGATATTGAGGGTTAAGGTAGTTTGTACGGATACCAGGGGAAGATAACGGTAGACTGTAAACTTGAACAGGTTAAAATTGTATTGATCGGGGAACCAGCCTCTTGGGGAGTCAGTTCAACAGAGCAGTGATTTGCGGGAAGAAGCTCTTAAAGTGTGACTTACATCTCATCGATGGAATATGGAGGGAACTCTTTTGGACTCTATCGAAGCTTCAGAGTGCAACCGGTACAGCTCCTGACCAATAACACATTTGTACTCCCTTCTTGGACTGATCTGGATCTTGTAATGTTAGAAGATATTACGTGGAGTCAGGTACTCACTGAAATGGCACAGGGAGCCCACCATTTTACCTGCATCTTTTTCGATGGATCGGATGCATCAATTTATACTTAGTTTGAGTTTATCGAAAGCAAATTTCGCTATTTCCATTCGCTTTTTGATTTCTGATTTGTCGTCGTTATTTAAACCCTATAAAGAATCAAATCGCTTTATCTGTATTATCATTGTATTGTTGACACCTAGGACTGTTTCTTTTGCCGACGACCATCAAAAGAATATTAACATTAAATAGCTGTTGCCTTTTTTCTCTGGAACATCATTGCTTCTTCAGTTAGAAAAAATTACAGTCATAATTACATAAGAATTGCAGTCATAATTACATAAGTTACATAGTTGGACTTAGTTGGTTTCTTGGGTACTGAGCGATTTTTCTAGGAACGTCATTAGTCATGTCATCGTGGCAATTAAACGGCATTACATATTTATATAAAAAAAATATGAATTTATTAAAGTGTTATAAACCGGCTTTGGAATTGGGAAGTACTGCGAAATTAGTTCTGCCACTACTTTTTTTTCAAAAGGATAAGAAATCCTATAACCTATTAGGGCACCATATTAACAACTCCTGCAATAGGTGTGGTGTGTCTTGGACAAGA